GCAACATGCAAACCATTCGCCTTTAATCCTTTATAAGCAGAGTTGTCTTCGAACAAATCATCATTCTACTAGCTAGAGTATCAGAGTTCGGTAGCCTAACAGCCTTCTCTGAACCTAAGTACGACTAACTCCAGTTCAATAGCATAGCGGTCTTCTGGAATTAGCCAGCTAGGGGAGGTCTGAAAGACGATAGCCACGCGTCACTTTTATCCCTCCACTTAGGGTTGCAATTATCATAAATTTATTATAAACAAATTATCAATTAATTATTTTAATTATTATAAGTTGCCAATAAATAAATTATCATCAAGGACATCGGGGCTTTAATTTCATAACCAGCAACCCTACATTGGCGCCCAACGAAAAATTCCAAGGATACCCACTTATTTGGACGACCAACGGTACATTGGCGCCCAACGTAAAAATTCAAGTACACCCACTTATTTGGACGACCAACGGTACATTGACTCCCAACATAAAAATTCAATCATACCCACTTATCTGGACGACCAACGGTACATTGGCACCCAACGAACGTTTATTCCCAGTCGCCTCCGGCGGCAACTGGGAAGTCATTGCCCCCACTTCAGTTTCGGTATACATTGCTTTGTTTCTTGTGGAGTACAAAATAATAAGGAAACTTATTCCAAACCTACATCTATCTGATTGATGATAACATTGAAATAAAGTTTCCAATATAGTTTGAACAATAATTTTACGTGCGTGTCACCAATATTGTTTAAAAAGAAAAAACAAAAATGGCTCAGACTTGGGAGTGCACCAACAGGAAGAAAAAGTGCAAGGGACTTATAAAAATAGCAGTAAGTAAAGTATTTTTATATATATATATGGTTAGTTTTTACCAATGCCGCTATTTTTATTTATTCTTCCTAGGTGGCATCATCAGCAATACCAAATTTGTTTACTCTATTGTATTTATCTATTAATTATGCGTCTTAAGTAAAAACGCGGGTTACTCACGTGAATATACTGAGAAAAGCTCTACTAGTTTCGAACCACAGAGGGGTTCTTCCTCATGAGCAGCGTGTGCGGTCGCGGCGACGTCGCGCAGCTCATTTACTTAATTTAGTATGTCTCACGATAGTTATTATAAAAACATAATTTTGCGTCTACTTCTTTTGTGATTTTAGACCTTTCCATAATATTATGAACTATATTAGTGAGTAGGTAGTCTTTATTTTGTAGTCTATATGAATAAATATATGTATTTTGATTTAACATTCTTAACGACCCGTTTAACTTAATGTTCAATAGCGTCATTTTAGACATAAGAATTACAGGTTCAATTTCTGCACTAATACTTGTGTTAACAAAACGGTATTTGTGTTAAGCATTTTATTGGTTGAACCTTCGTTGTATTTGGCCATTATGCCAGGCGATAGTCATCGGCGGCTCACGGTTGCTGTCCAAAATCAATAAACGTATCCTTCCCCCTGTACTTTTTGACGGTGCTGTCATTCCTTACAGCGACGATGTGAAAGATCTCGGTCTGCACATCGATAGCACCCTCAGTTGGCGGGCGCAGGTCACTAACGTATGCAAAAAAGTCACGGGGTCTTTACGGTCTCTGTATCGCCTCACAAATTTTCTACCGTCCTACGTGAAGGCGATGCCTGTGCAATCATTGATATTCCCCATTATTGACTATGGTGATGTTTGTTACTACGACCTGGAGGTCTACTCCGGTTCTCGAATGCGAAGTTTCGTTTGATTTGCGGCGGCAAACAATGTTTTCGGAACCATAGACAACTTTCGTGAACTACAATGAACGAATGAAGTGAAGATAAATAAATAGGCAATAAGAAGGTTTAGATTCGAAATTAAATATAAAAAATTTATTTTAAGTAATTATATTACTAAAATCATAGTGCCATGGTTTAGCACACATAATCATCAAGAAAATCATGAATAATCTTATAATATTAACGTTTAAGATGGAAAATCTTAAACAGGATAAGAACCTCCTTTCAAAAATTTATTATACGACCAAGTTAAAAAGTTTCAGAATATTGTTTTATTGTCATTTATTGACATTTATGTATAAAATAATGACAACCAAATTTATTCGTATTATATTAGTACAGTCAGTTTAAAAATCATAAATGTCTACATGAGAATTTCAAGAGATTAAATTATTTCGTGTTATGATGATTAACAATATATTTTTGAAAGAATTTATCTTACCTATAAATGTTAGTATATTAATAGATGTGAAAGAATAGCGAAAATATATACGAGCAATACTTAAGTTAATTTTTCTAGCGGTATTATTAGTTTTAAAATAAAACATTACACATGAAACATTTATGTTCAATACATAAGGTATTCAAATAAGGATTTGATTACCCTAAATGTTACTAACTCTCATAGACATATAAAATATATAGGTTCGTGTTAACAAACTATTTGAGCTGACTGTACATTGATTTTATATCGTCATTTAAGTAGTTTCTTTGGTGCCCTACGTGTTGCCCACACAAAGAAACCGTGACAAAACGAAGACTTATAATTACTTTCCTTCATTTTTTCAATAAATTTAACCCAAACGAAAATCAAACGATAACTATTTTGGTTTCGTCGAAATGACATTAAACGTCCGAAGAATAATCTGTCAAACTCGAATTTTCGTTCGTGCGGATTGTACAATTAGAGTAGGGTTCCGAAACAATCGACGTCAAACAGTGCATCTCATACTAATTTCTGGCTTGTTTCATTCCTTTTTCGTTCGTAATAAATGCCATTGTGGTAGGTAATGTTCGAAGTTTCTTCCGAAACTTCGTTTTTCGTCGAATCAGAGTAGACCTACTGAATGCAGATCTACTCAATAAGCTTGACCGACTTATAAATAACTGCATTCGAGTCGTTTTCAACCTGCGTAAATATGATCATGTTTCTGCACATCAGCTGCAATGAAAGTGGTTGCCCATACGCTAACGCAGAGAGCAAAGGGCTCTAACCACTTTGTACTCCTTTCTTGACTCCCCCTTTTCTCCTAGCTATCTATCCACCTACTTTCAATACACCAGTGCAAACCACAATAAATATCTTCGATCTTCCAACAATCGCCATCTTCAATGTCTTAGTCATCGCTTTGATTTTCTTCATTCTTCATATTTCATACAATCTGTGATTCTATGGAATGCGCTACCCACTGAGATTAGGATGGCCACCAGTCGCTTATCTTTCAAAACCAAGGTTCGCGAGCATTTACAAAAAAAAAAAACTGGCAGATTCGATTCAAACATAAGTTGTCTTTTATTATGTTATTTAGTTTTTACCTGGGTATGCATGTATGTATGTATGTTTCTTTTTTTTTTTTTTTCTATACAAAGGGGGGAAATACTTTTACGTATTCTACAAGCTTAGTTCTTTTGCTTGGATATGTCGGACTCAAACATTGACTGATGACATGACAATGCTAATACCGACTAAAACCTTCCCTTTTTTCCTCTAGTCTCTGATCCCTCACGGAAACCGCCGCTAGGCATTACTTCGTAAGGGGAGAATTTAGCTACTGCTCTTCCTTCTGATGGCTAGGTATTATTTTTCCTTGTTTTCTAATTACTAGCATTTGCTCTTCTTCTTTCGATGGATCGCAAGTCTGTGAGTACTTCTGTGGCAAACGTGTTGACAGCGTTCCAGGCAGCTCCTGATGACAACATTGCCTCTACTATTGATTCAGGTTCCAATTTCTTGTTCATGATCATCTCTAGTTTATCTCGCTGAGGGTGGAATCGGGAACACCAAAGAATACGTGCTCGACGTCCTCAGCAACTCCTGGATGTATGTATGTATGTGTGTGTGTATGTATGTATATAGTACTATTATATGATATAAGTATTGGATGTATGTGTACATATATATGTATGACTGTATATATAAGTATCTAAGTACTTAAGTATTTATATAAAGTTATTTATTTACAACATTTGCTTAGTCACATTAGACATATTAGTTACATTTGTTATTGTACTAAGTCTTAAATAATAAATAAATAAATATTTGGTTACCATAGCACCAGTGATAAATCTTACTGACCGTGTTGTCTCAGATTTATGTATGTATTATTGAAAGCCATGACATTTTTCGAATTTTTTTAAAATGCTAATATCAAGAAAATAATATGACGTTATTTGTTTTAGAACAAGTCAATCATATATGACGGAAATCATTTGTGTTTACCCGATTTTAATAAAAATGGCATAAAGTCAAGCAAACATTGATTCAAACAAAGTTTCCCGCTGTCCCTCAAACATATAACTCCATGATTGCCACGTGCGGAAATACAAACCAAGATGTATTAAATAAATTACCAAAGTTTACAAATGTGAAATCATCACTGTACAGATTTCGCAATAAAGCAGCGGGTGTAGAGAAACTATGTTGTAAAGAAGCGGGAGAAGTACAAATTCCATCACAACATCAAGATTTTGTTTTGGCAGATTATGCTGAAAATGGGCTGAGAATCATAGTTTTTTGCTCTAAAACTGCAAAACATGCAATGACAGAGATCTCGGAATTTAGTAGCGATGGAACCTTCAAATCATGCACGCAGTTTTCCTCACAACTCTATTCAATCCACGGTGACTTAGGAAGCACAGTGAACAACACCAATATGTACCTCTATATTGCCACTGGTTTATGCTCTTATGAGTAGCAGAACAGAGAAATCTTACTTTATCTTATTCTCATTAATCAAATCACAAATACCTGGCTGGAATCCACAATCGTATAAAACAGAATACGAAATAGCAGCCATGAATGCCATTAAACTGTCCAACACCAAGCGGTCACCGGTGACCGCAACCTATTGTTTTATAATTGTGTCTATAATTTATTTATTTATTTTGGTTAACCAACAATTGTTTACATTATATACATTACTGATTAAAAAGCTATAGAAACATTTACAAGTGCAACAATTAATTATAGGTTAACACCACATGCAAAAAATAAAACGATAAACAAAACATACAGAAAAATAACAAATGATTCCATGGGAGCATATCTATAATGACGGTACTCGACGAGTTAAATCAGTTTTTCCGCTTGTGATAGTCCACGGCTGTTATTATCACTATAACAAAGCAGTGTGGGGTAAAGCTAAAGAACTCGGTATCACAAAATCAAATCATCCAAGTAAAATACGAGAAGTACAGCTAAGCGCTGAACTTCCATTGTTTCCAGCAACTAAAATTATGAAAGGTTGGTCATACATTACACGCAAACCCTGTGAAGATGAAAATATAAAAAAAATCCGAACGTATATGGAAAGACGACTTAGGTGACTACTCATCCGCAAAATATTTCATCCGCGGATGAAACGTTACTCTTTTAAAATTGTAAGGCGACGAATCATCCGCAACTTCGGATGAGTCGTTGCATAGTTAACATTGATGTGGTCATATCGGCCAAATAGACGAACAAACATATTTTGTGTATAGGAACATTGTCTGTTCTTTAGTTTCATCGGTTTCACTAGCTGCTATGAGTAATAAAGCGAACAAAAATACTTCTATGCATAAGAATCGTTTTTATTAAGAATATAATTTTTTATACTGGTGAATCAGAATAATAAGCAATTTCCCTAAACAAATGACAGGTAGTTACTGTTTTACTGCGAAAATTGAGTTAATGTTATAAATATGAATACATTTCAATAGTTTGGTAATACTTAAATAACCAAATATTTACGACTACCGACGTTTTGTGCAACTTGTATCAGCGGTTTGAAAAACGAAAGATTTGAGGGTATTTAGAAAATAATTGAGACAAGCTAAGTTGTTTTGTCATGAATATATTTTGTTAGCCAGTGTACGTTAAGTTGACAGAGTGTACGTTCATCTAGTTAATTACTACATATTATAGTCAATTAATTAATAATAGAATTGAATAAAGTTTTTATGTTCCGGTGCGTGGGAATAAACTGAGTTTTCATATTCCATGCGGGTGATTGAGCTGCCTTGAGGTCAGATATTTTATTATTACCTATCCAAGAAAAATAAAACTCAAAACATTGTAACATTGTTTAGTTTCTATTTTAGAATCACAATTATGGACAAGGAAAATACGCGAATTAAAATGATTTCTTCGCAACGAGGAGGAAATCTTTTAATGGAAGGAAACTATCGTTATTATAAAAAACGTGAAAATAAAAACGGACATATAGTTTGGCACTGTGCTTCACAAAATTGTAAATCTAATTTGGTTACTAACTATGATTGTAACCTTATACTGAAAGAAAAACTTCATAGTTGTCAGTCTAGTAGTTTAGATAACCAATTATTGGAGAAAATTGACGAATGTTTAGAAAGAGCAAAAACTGAAAGTACTCCTATACCAACAATTTATAAAGAGGCGGTAGAAAAATTAGAGTCTACAGGATTAGACTTAATCATAAAAATACCAAAATACAACAATTTCAAGAAAAGAATGTATAAACTACGTAATAAAGAACTGCAAACTAAAAAGGTGCGATTTTTTAAATTGAAAGATGTTACAGTTCCTGGTGTTCACAAAAACTTTTTACTTGCTGATTATAGCGAAAAAAGTGACAGGATATTACTGTTTGCTACTGAAGAATCCAAAGAAATTCTCAAGAAAGCTAAACATGTTTTTTGCGATGGAACATTTAAAGCCGTTGTACCTCCCTTTAAGCAGTTGTATACGTTACATGTTGACATGGGCAGTACTTATACACATACGAATATTATACCAGCAGTTTATGCCTTATTGCCAAATAAAAAGCAATCAAGTTATGAAATTTTCTTCCATCTCTTAAAAAGCCAAATTCCCGAATTTGATCCTGAGTCCATCACTACTGATTTTGAAACCAGTGCAATGACAGCAGCTAAAGCTGTATTTGATAAAGTAACTACTCGAGGGTGTATATTTCATTTTAAAAAAGCTGTCCAAAAAAAAGCTAAAGTGATTGGAATTACAAAAAAATCAAACATGTCAAGGGCTCACGTGAGCCGTTGTATGGCGTTGGCATATCTCCCAAATATTGAAGTTTCAGATGGTTGGCTTTATGTATTGGGTGAATGTATACAAAATGATGATAAAACAGCGCAATTTAACCATTATTTTCAAAATACCTGGCTAGAGAAGAAATCTGTCTTGTCTGATAAATGGTGTTTTTATAATATCCGGCACAAAACGAATAACGCTATAGAATGGTGGAACTCGAAACTGAATAGGACAATAAAAAGCAAACCTAACATAGCCGTTTTATTAAATACTCTTAAAAAAGATGCCAAATATCATTCTAATCTGTGGAAAAATCAAGGATTTATTTCAAAGAGAACGGAAGAAAGTATGGTGAGGGAAAAAAAAATTAATAACAGTTTGCGAGAGTTTATTGATAATGAAATTAGCCTCGGACATTGTATAGAGAAATTATCATATTAGTGATACAGATCGTTTACAATATTTCGTAGCAGTTCATTTTTTGATTATAAACCTAAATACTAAGAAGGTTTAAATTATTTCGATTAATATTTTGTAACATATGTAAAAATGGATAATTCTTAATAACAATCTATTTAGATTTACTCATTTTTGTAACATTAACTCAATTTTCGCAGTAAAACAGTAACTACCTGTCATTTGTTTAGGGAAATTGCTTATTATTCTGATTCACCAGTATAAAAAATTATATTCTTAATAAAAACGATTCTTATGCATAGAAGTATTTTTGTTCGCTTTATTACTCATAGCAGCTAGTGAAACCGATGAAACTAAAGAACAGACAATGTTCCTATACACAAAATATGTTTGTTCGTCTATTTGGCCGATATGACCACATCAATGTTAACTATGCAACGACTCATCCGAAGTTGCGGATGATTCGTCGCCTTATAATTTTAAAAGAGTAACGTTTCATCCGCGGATGAAATATTTTGCGGATGAGTAGTCACCTAAGTCGGAAAGACAGTGGCTCAAAGAAGAGTTCATGAATGTATGGAGTGTATATGGTCAACAGCATCGAACTACAAATTATATAGAAGGTTGGCACAACAAGCTTAACCACGAAATTGGCATGAAACATCCGAACCTCGTGCATTTACTGAGTGTTTTGCGACAAGATTCTTCATATTCTAATGTTTGTAACAGCAGAATCAAACAGAAAAATCCGTTAAAAGAAAGAAAGGCTACACAGATATTTAGAGATGAATTCATACAAGAAATTCAACTCGAGTTTGTTCATGGAGAAATGACAGGGGGACATTTTCTAGAAACTTTACGACACTAATTGTTACGATTCTTTCTGTGATTTATAATTATATATAATGGTTCTTTCTGTATTTTCTAGATTTTGAGATTTTGTGTAATTTAATTATTGTAAATACTGTGATTAATCTGTGATAATAATATATCTTAACTAAGAATTGTTTTACGAATACTGCATAACGATTAAGTGTATGATCGACGATAGTACCTAACGTAACGAAAAAGTCTGATTTTATCTGTATTTTAATGATGTAGGTATTAGAATATTTTTGTTATAATATTTAGGGTCTCTTTCACCACCTTCAAGTAAAGTGTTGATTAGTTACTTGTCAATTAACGTTACTTGGCAAGTAAAACTTACAAGTAACTTCAGTGGATTTCACAAGCGAAATTAAAGCTCTGAGTAACTACTTGCCGGTTTATTGAACGATGTCACAAACCGTACATTACATTCGTTCATTAATACGTCAACGTTACTCGACAGACGTCATCATTGGCGATTTATCTGTCATTAGCGACTTGTGAGAGCGTATTTTGTGTTTGTTTTGTTGTTGTTTTCTTATTATTCGTCCTCGTCGCCATGGAAAAAACCAAAAGAGATAGGAGCGCAAACTTTTCTCTCCACGAGAGAGACATTTTGGTGTCCCTGATCCAAAAATATAAAAGTATTTTAGAAAATAAACAAAGCGATGCTTCCACTTGGAAACAGAAAGAAGCTGCGTGGAAAGCCATTCAAAATGATTTTAATGCTAGATCTGGAGGGACATTCCGGACAACAAAGACGCTAAAAGTAAAATATGAGGGCCTCAAAAGAACTGTGCGGAAAAAGTCCGCTGCGATACGCTCGGAGCTCTACCGCACCGGAGGTGGCCGCAACACGGCGCCTCCGCTAGACAACGTCGAGGAGCAAGTTAAATCAATGATTTCTTTGAGCACCGACGGACTGCATAGCATTTATGACTCAGATGTCATACAAGAAAATCAAGGAACTCAAGGTGAGTTATATGGTTGTTTTTAAACATACAAACTTGCAATAAGTACTGAACTTCGTATTTTAGTATCGGGAATGTACTAAATTTCATAATTATTGAAATACAAACAATTATAATATGCTTTTAATGCCTTTTTACAGACAACATCAATGTTCCTGATGAACAAGTGGAGATTTCCATGATAGATGTACCCGAGATTGTAGAAAGTACTACTTCTCAAAACCGTAAACATCTATAGTACCTATTCAATGCATATCTATATAATTACTACATAATTATTATACATAACCTCACTCCTCGTCTACGATGGGTGTAATAATATCTTGTAATCATTAATCAAAGTTATATCATGATTACTTTCACTTACCTGGTGCTAATGTTGTCCTATTTTTTACAGAAATTGTGGTGCTAGTAGCTAATGAGTGTGAACCATTACCAGCCACTAGCAGTGCAGCAGACATGGTTGAAACAGAAAAAAATTTAGAAAGCATGGATAGTATGTATTGATACGGATTTTAATATTTTACTTTTGTAAACTTGATATCAGTAATTAGATTATTGCATTACATACTCAACCACTCTAGCAAGACTATACTGGTCCTGTCATATTGCTTATCAGACATTGCTGAGATAATTACATTACATATTATACATAATTGAAACACTACTTGCTTCGATTATGTCTACATGTGTAGTAAGTTTTCTAAAATTTATTATTTTTGTTGCAGACAGCGCTTTGCTTGACAGCGACACTCCTAAGAGGAAGAGTGTCATAATACCAAATTCAAAAAAAACATGGGATGTCACAAGTAGAAAAAATTTAAAATCAAAGAAACATCCTGCACTGATTGGTAAGACATAATAGAATTTCCCCTATACTTATTACTTATACTCTTTGAATAGAATATCAAAGTTTATACATGACAGTAGACACAAATACTGCTTTTACCATATCTTTAGTAGATACTAGGTACATAGTAAAGGTACCATGTTAAGTGGTCATAATTATGTCACCATTTCAACCTGTTTTAAATTTCAATACTGTTTTTGTTACAGCAAATGTACCAAAAAGGACATTAATTGATGAGCTGACTCAGGCAAAATTAGAATTAGTTCAGCTTCAAAAACAAATTTTAGAAGAAGAAATTGTATATAAAAGGAAGGTATGGGAGTTTGAAGACAATGAACGCAGAAAGGAGGCAGAATTTAAAGAAAAAGAGCGCAAATGGAAGGAAGAAGAGTACAAATTAAAAATACAGAAATAATTTTAAATAAACAATGTTTTATTAAATCTATGCTGCATTATTATTCAGTAATGGTAAAAAGTATTCTTGCACTAGTCTGTTCCTGGTGTCATTATTAAATTCCGAAGTTTGTGCCATATTTTCTTCATGACTCTCAATATGTGAGTCGCAGTAGTCTTCGAAGCTTGTATCATTTGCATCAATGGCAATATTATGTAGTACAAAGCAGGCAACAATTATAGCTTGTACTCTATTTAATGTTAAAGTTATCTGTCGCCTAAGAACAGGAAATCTATTTTTGCACACTCCAAAACACCTTTCAACAATATTTCTTGTCCGGATGTGTGCTTCATTGTATAAATTTTCTGCTGGGGATGATGGATTTAGAAAGGGTGTCAAAAGATATTGCTTTAACTCGTATCCACTATCACCAAGAATTAAACTATTTCCAAATTGTCCACTTTCTATCTTTGTTTCAAAAAGGAATTATTAAAAATAGTTTGGTCATGAACAGACCCTGGCCATCTTGCCACAATGTCCAAGCATCTTAATTTACTGTCACAAACCACCTGAACATTAATTGAGAAATTGGATTTTCTGTTTCTGTAATTTTCAGCTGAATCGCCCCCTGAAATAACAAGTTTATAGGTGTTACATTGCTCTTATTTACATAGGTAAATTATACATTATTAGGTATATTCATAATATTCAATTCTGAAGTATAACATACCGGGTGACTTTATTGTAACGTGGGTACAATCCAAAGCCCCTATTACTCTAGGGAATCTTGCGATTTGATAAAAACCATCTTGTAGAATACTTATATCGTCAGGGAACTTTATCATAGCTGGTCGTAATTGAGCGATTGCTTCAGTAACCTTCTTTACAATGCGGCTTGCTGTAGGTGGACTGACACCACAAAAATCAGCAGCACTTCTTAAACTGTCAAATACCAAGCGGTCACCGGTGACCGCAAGCTATTGTTCTATAATTGTGTCTGCAAAACCGGTACTCGACGAGTTTTAAGTAGGATCCAGTAGCGAGATATCTTAATGTTAATAGTAGGCTTATTTCTGTTGAAACTGCATGATTTCTGAAATCAAGATATTTGTAAATACATGAGTAATTAGGTACACAGATACCTCCTGTTGTAGATAGGTTACTGACAGAACATTGTATTCTTTATTTTTTAAATGTAGAAGAAATTAGGGGGATAAATATCATAATTTGATTTAAAAGTTATTGTTTAATTTAACTAAATAAATAATGATAAAATTATATCTACTCACCTTTGCGTTTTAGATATTATTTTATGTTTTATTAAATTATGCACTTGGTTCACGGCATACTTCGATAGACGAAATCTTGCCAAAAATTCAGTTTCATCCAATTCCGTAAAATAATCAACACGGGATTTAAAGACACGAATCCTCGATGTCCGTTGCAGCGTAGAATAATCTAATTCATCTAACTGGTGATCAATTAAATCAAATAGGTCCATTTTCAGCGACAGATAGACCAATTCAAACTCTGTGATTAAATTTAACCGTCAAGTAAACTCGCTACTTGGTAGACGAAGTGGCAAGTAAGTTACGGGTCAGTTTAATCATATGATTACTGCTACTCGAGCGTCGTGAAATTGACACATGCAGTTATGGGTGACTTTAATTGGCGGTTAGTCTACTCGGCACTTTACTTGAAGGTGGTGAAAGAGGCCCTTATATTATTTATTTTTATCTTTAGCCCAAAACTTTAAGAAAATTATTGTGTTATTGTTAATGCTCGAATTATCTGTGATTGAAATTTATGACGAATTTTAAATGTTAAGTATTCCAGAAATATATATTATGTGGGTGTTATAAGGTTATACAAATGGTAAATCAATAATTGACCATAATAAAAAAGACTGTTATCTATGAATATATATTTGGAGCCTTGTTTATACTGAGTATTTATGAAGAAATGATGACTATGTATTACTTTCCTAATTTAATTACTGTCTTTAAGAGTCTGATTATCTGTGATACAAAATACCAGTTTAAATGTTTTATTTTAACAAGTTTATTGATATCAAAATAAAAATAAATATTTCAATGCACTTTGGTCTTTTTTTTGGGATTAGGTTTAGGATAAGGCAACTTATCCTTTTATTCTATACGATAGAGAAAGCAATGTATACCGAAACTGAAGTGGGGGCAATGACTTCCCAGTCGCCGCCGGAGGCAATCCTTGCGGGGGCGACTGGGAATATACGCCAACGAAAATCTACAGATACCGACATATTCAGATTGTCAAACGTATCTACAGATACCGAAATATTCAGATTGTCAAACGCATCTACAGATACCGACATATTCGGATAGTCAAAAATATTTTTACGTCAAAGAAAATAGACGGATATCCACATATTTTGACGGCTAACCCTACATTGGCTTTGGTATTATATTGGCCTTCCTTCAATTTTGCAGGGCCTACCGTAAAATTGTAAGTAGTACCCACTTAATTGTGAAAATGTCAGTAACAATGACACAAGAACAGTTGAACAGTTTATTGAGTGCGATCACTTCGACGCAAAGTATCAATATGACCGGAAGAAGTTTTGCTCGTTGTTTCAAGCGCTTTGACGGAGTCAGAGACTACAACAAGGTGGAATAATTTATAAAAAGCATTGTTGTTTATAGAAAAAATGAGCATATCTCCGATAAAGACGCGTTGGAAGAACTGCCATTATTGTTGAACGGCACAGCAGCGACATGGTGGCATGGAGCAAAAAGCAATATTAAGAAATAGAGCAATGCTTTAGAGGCAATACGTTCGGCGTTCGCACCAAAGAGGCAACCTCATAAAATTTATTTGGCGGTTTTTGGGAAAAAACAAACAACTGAAACCACTGACGACTTAGTTTGCGAAAAACGTGCTCTTCTCTCGCAACTACCTAATAAACGAAATAGAGAAGAAGAACATCTGGATGTCGTGTATGGCCTACTTAAACTTAATATTAAGAAAGAGGTTGCTAGATCCGGTTTCAAGTCGTCTGCAGAGTTACTTAAAAAAGTACGCCACTTGGAAAGTTTGGAAAAAGAATCACAGGCAGGAAGAAAGAAATTCCTAATGTAACGAACACCCAGCGCCATCTAGTATAATATATCCAAAACAACTACAACTACAAACAACTCACACATGCAAACCATCCGCATTTACAGCAGAGTTCAGTAGCCTAGCAGCCTTCTCTGAACCTAAGTACGACTAACTCCAGTTCGTAGCCTAGCGGTCTTCTGGAATTAGCCAGCTAAGAGAGGTCTGAAAGAGGCAGGTAGGCAGGCAGGAGCTGAGGCTCTTGGGTGATTTTTAGAAAAGGAGGATAAAACGTGTCCAGTCTCAATACTTTTTCGAAAATAAACTATATTTAATAAAAATGGCGTTTTAATATACTTTAATTACCAGCACAACTATTTACAAAACAAAAAACTACATTAAACATAGTGTACCTAAAAATTTAAACCAAAATCTTCCTTAAACGTCATTATATATACAACACTGCGCTTGGTTATTTCGTCTGATAAAAAATTCAATCAAAACTGAACGTCTTAATTTATTTTTGCCAAATCATCCTCTAATAATCAAAGTTTCCTAATTACCATGCACTATCTCAACTTAATTAATTTTACTATAGGAAACCAATACGATTTAAGTTTGTCATAAATAAATATCATTATACGCAGCAAGAATTGCTTCAAATAATACTCTGGGGTTTTCTACTTTACGTTACGTTTGATGTCTGCCGCAGACAGACTTTTATAGGGTGATAGTGAACCGTTCACTATCACCCTATAAAAGCATCCAAAATTATTAATAGCTGCTGTGTTTTTACACAATATCTGTAACCAATTTAGAATAAACGATAATTATGATTTTGATTTTGAGATAGGAAATCAAAATGAAAGTTCCTCTGAACCACCAGAAGCCCGTGGGACTGGTCCATCGATTGCTGAACTAAGAAGAGGAATTGAAATACGAAATTCTTTAGTTCAGCAATTATGGGTAGCTGGTAGACAATAAGTTTTTTGTTTTCTTGTATTAACTATTTTATGTTGATTCAAAGGTACAAAACATAAATAAAAAACATTTGAAATTGATTTTTGTAGTTTTATTTATAAATTAATGTAAAATTAAAAGTCTTTAGAATAAAACTGATGAAATTAGGATGGCTCCTAATTGATTCAGTTTTTTTTTTAAATCTCTCATTTTGACAATAACAATTATACATAGTGACAATGAGTACTTTAGTACTCATATTTATTATTGATAAAAAATATCCATGAGCAAGATTTATCCCACCAAAATAAAATTAAAATTAATGTAAAATTAAAAGTCTTTAAAATAAAACTGATTAAATTAGGATGGCTCCTAATTGATTCAGTCTTTTTTTTAAATCTTTCATTTTGACATAGTGACATCTTTTTTACTTTAGTACTTCTATTTATTATTGAGGGCTCAGGATCAGGGTGCTATGCAAGATCCTTTGCCAGGACCTTCAACACCACGGGAAGATGCAGTTGGAAATATAGATCAGGAAGAAGTACAGCAACTACAGCAACCTGATTTACTTCAGTCATTAAATCTGTCGGAGTTATCTAGTGCTCCAAATACAGCAAATGCATGAATCTAGTAATACCTGCTGCATTCTTCGGCAACCCAAATGAACCCGAAAACGGAATGCCTGGTTGATGTTAGTTACCAAAATATTAAAAAAAGCAGTCCTTTTATTCCAGAGGGATACATATAGCCCTCATAAGTACAGGAATTTAATAAAACCACTGGTACTGATATGTTCGGATGGATACATAATAGATATTTACGGGCCATATAAAGCGACCAAATCAGATGCAAATATAATGCAAGATGTTCTTCACGATGAACAAGACGTA